GTTAGGAACACTACAGTGATAGTTTTCCTGATTTAACCTATTTCTTAAAAAATAGTTCTGAAAATTACTGCCCTTTATTGTTCTTAATGTACCAGGTATTCACAATTGAAGAGGCAGGTTGTATATCTGGTGCATTGGATGTTTTTTAGTAGGATATTTAAATATGGCACAGTCCGTCAAGATCAGACTTCAGCTTCACAAGAACGGTATTGTTAGGAGTTTCCTAATTATATGAGCTAGATTGTCTCTCCCATGTCTGAGTCACAAACCCTATGTGTATTTTATTTACTGGTTCTTTTTTCTTAGTGTTTTTTTTTTTTTTTTTTAAGTAATATGTAACCTTAGTTTAAAAAAATCCAGTGGTACTAAAGGACTTGTCACTCACTGCATTGATGCTTCAGAGGAATTTTATGAAGAGGTGCTTGGTTTTATCTTCATTTGAAATATAAAGACAAGGGGTTGTGAAAAAGACATCTGCTTAAATTGACACAGAACACCAGAGATCGGGAGACAGAGTATGGTATTCAAGTGAAGACAGATACAGGAAGAGGGATAATTCTTCATTCAGGGACCTGGCATGCCCTTTTGGTTTGTTTCCACACAGAACGCTCCTCCTCACCTGGTTTCCACCTTAGTGGGAAGGCAGATGCTGTCAAACAATGCTGGGACTAAACTGTTAAATGTTTCTGGGGTAATTGGCAATGTTATTACAAGTAAAACCTTTTTAGTTTAGGATGCAGCTATTAGAATTCTAGGGAGTTTACTTATTACTGTGCTTACTGAGAGGGCGAGGTAAATAGAGCTTTCTTTTCCATAGCAGCACTTTTTTTTTAAGATGTTATTTATTTATTCATGAGTGACATAGAGAGGCAGAGACAGAGGCAGAGGGAGAAGCAGGCTCCCCCTGGGGAACCTGATGTGGAACTCAATCCCAGGACTCCAGGATCAGGACCTAAGCCAAAGGCAAATGCTCAACCACTGAGCCAGCCAGGTGCCCCTCCATATCAGCACTTTTGATGAGGCTGAGGAACATCGGGGTGTGGCATCGGCAGGAGAGAAGGCCTGGGAAATCTACAGATCGCTCAGGGGCCAGAGCACCTTCCCACCCATCTTTCCCACCTCTCACAGTAGACATTGGTGCATAAGATTGCGATTATATGTGTTTGTGGTAGGAGGCGGTGACGTTCAACGATGTGGCTGTGGCCTTCACAGAGGAGGAGCTGGGACTGCTGGACTCTGCACAGAGAAAGCTGTACCAGGATGTCATGTTAGAAAACTTCAGGAACCTGGTCTCTGTGGGTGAGGACAGCCTTCCTCTGGAGGATCTTTGTGAGCTTGGGGTTTAAGGCTTTGGGGCTCCTGAAATGGATCCCTGAGTTTGGGGATTGGCCTTTGCAGTCCTATAAGACACAGGATATTTCTGGTCTTTCTTAACAGGCTTTTTCAGGTCTTTTCATTTGGGTTCTGTAAAAGACTATATAAATGGATAGTATACTGCTATACCTTGTCTATTCGATTTTAGATTTCATTACTATTGCATTAGTGAATTATAAAACTTATGTATTGAGTTTTCTGAGCAATTTTGAATGAAATAAGGGTAAAGAATATCAGAGCTTCTTAAGACACATTGTAGCAAAAACTGGCTGATTGCACAAGTGTGTGAGGGCCAGTGGGAGGAGATTTAGGGAAAACAGACGTGGGCTAGAAATAGGTCATTCAGACTTTGTTTTGATAATACATATCTCTCTGTATGTAGTTGGGTGATGAAGTAAATGCTATTTCTTCAGTGGGTCGTGATTAAAAAAAAGTTTGAAAAACATTCTTCTGATAGCTTGAATGTGCAGTTGGAACTCCAGTCTCCGGTAAATTTTAGTTCTAGCATGTTCATTTTAACTCCTGACTTTCCATGTTCTCAGGACATCAGCCCTTTAAACGAGATAAATGGCAAATAGAAAGAGAAGAGAAGCTTTGGCTGATGAAGACAACAACCCAAATAGAGAGAAATGTGGGTAAGAACCAAGCAACTGTGAGTTGTCACAGTTACCTGTCCCATTTGTTCAGTTTCTTGCCACCTGTGTGCTGTCATTTATGTCCCAGGTTGCCAGACCTCTCTCCTGGATTGTTGCAACAGTCTTTACTGCTCCCACCCTTCTCCTACAGGCTCTTCCTTATGTAACATTATGTTAATCTTCTGTTCAAAAGTTTCTTATGACTTCTTTTACTTACAGTAAAAACCACTTAAAGCAGCTACTAGATAGTCCTCTGTGGTCTGCTGTTCATCCCCCACTGCCTGTCAGTACATCTGTCCTCCCTCTTGCTACGTCTTTTCTGCCTGCATTGTCCTTCCTGCCATTTCTCAGACCTTAAAGGAAGCTTCTGCCTCAGAGCCTTTCACCTGTTCTCTCTGCCTGGAATACTCTTGCCTTTAACCTTCCAGGCCCCTTCTTTACTTCTTTCAGGTCACTCAGTTCTACTCTAATGAGGGATCTGACCACCCTGTTGAAAATGCTGTTCTCTTTCCTTTCTGTGCCCTTCCTTATTTTGTGTCAAAGCACTGATCTTCACCTCAAACATATTTTTGTTCATTTGTTTATTATCTTACTCCCCTCACTGGAGTGTAATCTTCATGAATGGGGGAGTTTTGTCTGTTTTGTTTCTTGTTCACTGTCCTCAGTGCTTAGAATAGTCCTGGTACATTCATGGCAGGGGCTCTGTAAATATTTGTTGAGTAAACATGAATGAGTTTATGTATAGGAAAACCTACCCTCCACAGAAATAACTGATAGGTAGTGAACAGATCCATGTGAATAAAGGATATTGCAAAATATTTTTTGTCTTTAAATGAATTTCTAACCTAATTCTAGTTTCTCAGATGCCTGTGGGGTGTGTGTGTGTGTGTGTGTGTGTGTGTGTGTGTTCGCCTTTCTGTACAAGTTGGTCTATACCAGCTCATCCAGAGACCAGTATAGAACCTCTGGCGTTGTTTTGTTTTTTTTTTAAAGATTTTATTTTTATTATTTATTCATGATAGAGAGAGAGAGAGAGGCAGAGACACAGGCAGAAGGAGAAGCAGGCTCCATGCTGGGAGCCCGACGTGGGACTCAATCCAGGGACTCCAGGATTGCGCCCTGGGCCAAAGGCAGGCGCCAAACCGCTGAGCCACCCAGGGATCCCCTGGCATTGTTTTTATAACCAAACTGAACACCAGTCTTCCCCTGTGGCTTTCCATTAGTAGCAGAGCATATTCATTTGGGGAGGAAATTTTTTTTTGTTTGAGGATTCTTCTGTCCCCTTTTATTAGGCAGCTCCCTCAGAGAAGGGAAGAAATTCAGTTTCCATACCTCTGTCAGGGAATGAAAAGGTCTCAGAAAATAGCCAGCTTGTGAGTTAGCCTTTCCCTTAAAAGATTTGCCCACCTGCATCCCATTTGCTTCTTACAAAATCCACATGTATAATTTACATTGTTACTTCAGGCATTGTGTTTGTGTATAGATTCAAATATATGACTTTTGAAGGCATTTCATATAATGACAGCTTTACTGCTTGTAATGATTCACTAATCATTAGTTTCTAGTCTGTTTCTTCTAAATATTATAAGTTATGGAATTTATTTCCCAGCTCACTAATAAACTGCATTCTTCACTTTGAAAGTCATTCTTGTCGAAGGCCTGTATATCTATATCCCAAAATTTTCCACACTATTTTCAAAGGGACAGCATTCTTCCCTGGCCTCTAAATTTGACTCCTATTGGGGGGTTGAGGATATTTAGACCTTACAAAACCCTCAGAAGGATCTAGTACACAGGTCTTCATGCTTTTATTTCTTTAGCACCCTTAATTTTCTCATCAATACCCCCTTGGTGTACTGCTGCCTCTGATGCAACCTTTTGGCTTCTTTAGCAAACTGTATTCTCCCATCCTTGTCCTAGTTCAGATACCTTCCTTGCAAACACTTTTGCTACTCTGATTTGTTTACACTTAAACTGGGATTTAGAATTCTAGATATTCTCAGACATCACACTGGGTTTCATCTATGCATGCACTTTTTGAGCACCTACTAACTGCTAGGCACTGTTAAAAGCTGTCAACACGGCAAAATTCTTGTCCTTACCAATTTTGTACTGTGGTAGGAAAGACATGATTTTTGAAAAATGACTTAAATGGTATGTCAGATGGCACTAATTTTGTTTCAGATGGATTTCATTAATGCTCTGTGGTTGGGAGTTTAATGGACTACCTCTTGGTTTCTATCAGTATTTAAGCCAGAGTATTTCACATGTGGTGGAAAAGAAGCTGAATCATCCTGAGGTTCATTAAATTCTCATACTGTGTCCTAAGTGTGAAATCTTGACTCTTTGAACAAAGTTTTTGGTTGTCCACATCTCTGAATTCTGTCCCTATAGGAGGAAACAATCAGGATGAGCTGAGGAATTTTCAAGACAAAGGACCACATGAAGAGCTGTCCTGCTGGCAAATCTGGCAACACATTGCAAATGACCTAACCAGATGTCAAAACTCCATGATAAATAGTTCTGAGTTTCACAAACAAGGTGATTCCCCCTGCCAGCTTGGGGCAGAACTCTCTATTCAGATTTCTGAGGAGGAGAACTGTCTGCTAAATTGTAAAGTGGATGGTCCTAATCATACTGAAAACTCAGACTTTGCAATTTTGAGAGTCCAGGACTCATGGAGGAAAACTTTGACTGAATCACAGAGTTACCGGAATAGATATCAGCAGATTTCCATGAAAAATAAGCTGTGTCGGTGTAAACAGAATATTGATGTTGTCAGTTGGATTTCACATCACCTTGATCATGGGATACACAGAAGTGACAAATCTTACAGCCATGATGATTGTGAGAAAGGCAGCATGAACGTTTCAACATTAGACCAGGAGAGTATGATCCACATGAGACAAAAACCTTACCAGTGTAATGAATGTGAAAAAACCTTCAGTGATCTCTCCACCTTTGATCTTCATCAGCAGTTACACTCAAAAGCAAAGTCCCATATGTGTAGTGAGTGTGGAAAAGGCTTCCGTTATAGCTCAGTTCTTCGTATTCATCAGAGAGTTCACATGGGAGAGAAAGGCCATAAGTGTGGTGAGTGTGGTGAGGAATTCAGTCAGAGCTCACTTCTACAAACCCATCAGAAACTCCACACTGTAGAGAAGCCTTTCAAATGTGAGGAGTGTGGGAAAGGCTTTGGTCGTAGATCAGCACTTACTGTTCATTGCAAAGTCCACACAGGAGAGAAACCTTATAATTGTGAGGAATGTGGGAGGGCCTTCAGTCAAGCCTCTCATCTTCAGGACCATCAGAGGGTCCACACTGGGGAGAAACCATTCAGATGTGATGCATGTGGTAAAAGCTTCAGTCGGAATTCACATCTTCAGTCCCACCAGAGAGTCCATACAGGAGAGAAACCATATAAATGTGAGGAATGTGGGAAGGGCTTCATTTGTAGCTCAAATCTATACATTCACCAGAGGGTGCACACAGGAGAAAAACCGTACAAATGTGAGGAGTGTGGTAAAGGCTTTAGTCGACCTTCAAGTCTTCAGGCCCATCAGGGTGTTCATACTGGAGAGAAATCCTACATATGTAATGTGTGTGGTAAAGGCTTTACTCTGAGTTCAAATCTTCAGGCCCATCAGAGAGTCCACACAGGAGAGAAACCATACAAATGCGATGAGTGTGGGAAGAGCTTCAGGAGGAACTCCCATTATCAAGTTCATCTAGTAGTCCACACAGGGGAGAAACCCTATAAATGTGAGGTATGTGGGAAGGGCTTCAGTCAGAGTTCATATCTTCAAATCCATCTGAAGGCGCACAGCATAGAGAAACCTTACAAGTGTGAGGAGTGTGGGCAGGGCTTCAATCAGAGTTCCCGACTTCAGATTCACCAGCTGATCCACACTGGTGAGAAGCCATACAAATGTGAAGAGTGTGGAAAGGGATTCAGTCGTCGAGCAGATCTCAAAATTCATTGCAGAATCCATACAGGAGAGAAACCATATAATTGTGAGGAGTGTGGGAAAGTATTCAGGCAGGCCTCAAATCTTCTGGCCCATCAGAGAGTCCACAGTGGAGAGAAACCATTCAAATGTGAAGAGTGTGGGAAGAGCTTTGGTCGCAGTTCACACCTTCAAGCCCATCAAAAAGTCCACACGGGAGAAAAGCCATACAAATGTGAGGAGTGCGGGAAGGGCTTCAAGTGGAGCTTGAATCTTGACATGCATCAGAGGGTCCACACAGGAGAGAAACCCTACAAGTGTGGGGAGTGTGGTAAGCACTTCAGTCAGGCCTCGAGTCTTCAGCTTCATCAGAGCGTCCACACTGGAGAGAAACCATACAAGTGTGACGTGTGTGGGAAGGTCTTCAGTCGCTCTTCACAGCTACAGTCTCATCAGAGAGTTCACACAGGAGAGAAACCTTACAAGTGTGAGACATGTGGTAAGAGCTTCAGCTGGCGATCAAATCTTACCATTCATCACAGAATCCATGCTGGTGATAAATCCTATAAAAGTAACAGGAGTGGTAAGAACATCATAGAGTCCACACAGGAAAATAGTTCTATAAAATGATTTTTTTAAAAGAAAACTCAAGTGTCATGTGAGTTCTTCCAATCATGAAGTTCAAAAGGAAAAATCTTTTGTTTCACAAAAGTCAGTGTTTGAGCCACAGGTTAACATGTCCCAATAGTAGGCCACACAGCAGAGAACACTTGTAAGTGGCATAGTAAGGTACAGTTTGAACTTTGACCTTTATTAAATACTACTCAGGGGAGAGGCTTTGGAAAGTATGAGTTTTATCAGGCCTTATATAAAAATATAATGGACATACTAGAATGCCCATTAGAATGTAAGCTCCATGAATGCAGAGACTTGTTCTGAACCTACATAGTCTTAACATTGCCAGGTACTTGGGAGGTGCTCAATATTTGTTAATAAATAAGGAAAATGTAGACTTGAAAATAGTGTTGAGATCACCTCTGGAATTTCATAAAAATTTGTATTCAGAACTGGTAACCTAAATGTGGCCTTAGTAAAATTAATTCAGGGAGACACTTGAAATGTGAGAAAACTACTCAGTATTGCAATCTGGCATTACTTTGTTGTGATGAGCTCCTGTCTTCCCCAGCTTCTCATCAAGTTGGGTCTTATCATCTTGGACTTTGAACTTAAACTGCATACAATCAGTGGAACACCAGATAGTTATCTTTTTGTGACAGCATACATTGAAAAATTGATTGCTAATCCTACAATAAGCCATTACACTATTGATCTTTATTCTCAAGAATGTCAAGGCAGGAGTTTAAGTGTCAAAGTTATACTAATGACAAACATTTCTTAGTAAATGGTGAATTGACCATTGGTTGATCATTGATCATTCTCCACCTTTCCATCCAGATTTTGTTTTTTTTTTTTAATTATTTATTTATTTATGATAGTCACACACACACAGAGAGGGGGGGGGGGCAGAGACACAGGCAGAGGGAGAAGCAGGCTCCACGCACCGGGAACCCGATGTGGGATTTGATCCCGGGTCTCCAGGATCGTGCCCTGAGCCAAAGGCAGGCGCCAAACCACTGCGCCACCCAGGGATCCCTCCATCCAGATTTTGATGTGATTGCTTTAAGTAAGGATTTTAGCATTACTTTCATAAAAATTTCTTAGGTAGAGAGACTGAAGTAAATTATTGTTGTCAGGCTCCCTCTACCCTCTTATTTCTTCCTCTCCCCAGCCTGGGAAAGGGGAAACAATTATTTGTTGGAATTTGGTAATTTTATCAAACACATTGATTACTGAGCATGACTGACTTTCACACTTTTTCCTAGCATTGGATTGAATAGTTGCTTTTTGGTTTGTGTAGAGTCCCAAGCAGGCTCCACACTCAGTGCGGAGGCTGACACTGGGCTTGATCTTATGACCCTGACATCATGACCTAGCTGAAATCAAGAGTTGGATGCTTAAGTGAGCCACCCAGGTGCCCCAGTTAATTGCTTTTTGAAGTTGATTATTACATATCAAAATGCAGAATGTGGAATCCCTTTGATCTGGAGGTGATAGAATAAGAATTTATGATTAGGAGATTCAAATAGCAGCATAGAGAAACCTTACAAGTGTGAGGAGTGTGGGCAGGGCTTCAATCAGAGTTTTGCCTGAAGAACCTGTAAAGATTTCCCCCAAGATGGTTAAGATGGTTTCCTGGCAGGAAACTAGATCCTCCGGTGGGCTTTTCTTATTCTGATCTGAGTTAACATGAGAGTGTGGCCAATTCCATACTGAGTCCATTACCATTTCCAGAGTATCTTAAAGGTCAGGCTGGGTCCTCTTGAAAGAGTCTGATATACTGCCAAAACTATACCACAAATTGTTCTAGACTTCCTCGAGGTGATTGCAGCTATATTTTATGGAGGTTTTACATTAGGTAAATGGAAATAACCAGAATATAAGGGATGACTGGACACAAGATGACATTAATTCCTGGAACCTCAAATGCATTGTGCCCAGCAATTAGTAGTGGGGCTTACAAACAATAATTAATGGGATGCTTTTGCTCAGGTCCCTATATGGTGGTCTGAATGGATGCTTGCACCCATTGTATGGTTATTTTCCAAGTTCCAAAAAGCAGAGTGGCAATAGAAATACCCAACTACTGGCAGAATTCTCACATTGGTTTCTTCACCCATGAAACAAGGGCTATTTCGATAAGAAAGGACAAATAAACACTAACTGCCTTTTATGTACCCAAATAGAAAACCAAAAGTGTGCCTGAGTGGCTCAATTGGTTAAGCATCTGCCTTTGGCTCAGGTCCTGGGATTGAGTCCTGTATTGGATGGGCTTCCTGCTCTGCTCTCCCTCTGCCTCTGCCTCTCTCTGTCTCTCATGAATAAATAAAAATCTTTTAAAAAAAGAATAGAAAACCAAAAGCAATACCATATTCTTTAAGGAGTTCTAGTGATTAGTGCCATTAGTAGTATCTTGAAAGTCATAGGAGTCGTGTTTTCTATCGTATCCCTCTTCAGTGTACTCATTTGATTTGTGCAGGAGACAGGTGAATCTTGGGGAATGATATGGGATTATTTTAAATTTAATTAGGACTTGACATCACATGCAGCTTCAGATGAGGTTTTATTGGAGCAAATTAACACATCTGCTGGCACCTGATAGGCAACCATGGGCTAACATGCTTTTTTTTTTTTTTTTTTTTTTTTTTTGCTATACCTGTTCGTAAAAATCATCCAAGGAAGTTTGGTTTCATCTGGTAGGATTATTGATAAATTTTTATGTCCCCAGGTCAGAGCTACTCCAGCTTCCCAATCTTCACTCACACTCTAGTCTAGGAATTGGCAAACTATGGTCCAACAGCCATATCTGTCTGCCACTTGTTTTTGTTTTGCTTTGTTTTTAATTTTATTTATTTATTCATGAGAGAGAGACAGAGACACAGGCAGAGTGAGAAGCAGGCAGGGAGGCCAATGTGGGACTCGATACTGGCATTTCAGGATCACACGCCCAGCTAAAGGCAGACGCCCAACCGCTGAGCCACCTATGCATCCCACCACTTGTGTTTGTAAAATTTTACTGAAACATAGGCATGACCACTCGTTACATACTGTCTATGGGGTGCTTTCAGGCTAATATGGCAGAGTTGAGTAGTTGTGACAGATCTGTGCAAAGCCTAAAATATTTACTAGCTGGCTCTTTATAGAAATGATTTTATGACCCCAGATATATCTGATGATGTATGAAGTGTCTGACAGGTATGGACACTGCTTGGATATCACAGCATACGTAACATATTTGGGGTTTGGGAGCAAAGGTATGCCATTCTCTGTAGATGGTGTTACTCCTGAAAAACAACCTCTGGCTTTTTTGATCCCTAATTAAAACTAAATATTTGACCATGAGCCAGAAAATTACCATGCAATGATATCATAAATTTGAGTATACCAGTAGCACTTAAACATCAAGTGGAAGTGACTGATAAGACTGGGTTTGGACAGAAGTCACAAAAAGTTGCATGAATAAGTGACTCATTGCCATACTCTAGTTCCTGCTACCATGACTCCCATCTCAAGCCATGCCTGTGGCCTCATGAGGAGCTTTCTGTGATCAGTTGAATGAGAAGGGAAAAATTTGGTACTCTTCTCCATAGAGAACTACACAGCTCCCTGCTAGGAATTTGGTTACACAAGACCATTTCTACCATGGAGGGGACAACACATTGCTTTCATGGGAGAAAAGTAGCTCTAGATAAGGAGTTGCCTTTCCTGCAGCAGTGCTTCTGCCAAAAGCACTGTATGTGGACCTTATAAAATGTTTTATTCTCCCTCATGGCATCCATCCACCATTGCTTGTGCTTTTATTAAAAAAAAAAAAGATTGTAGCAATTGGGTTCATGTTTGCAGGATTGACTGGTCTTATACCATGCTCCCTATTAACCATTCTGTTTCAGTAGCTGGATGTGCCTGGATTCTCAGAATTACTACAAACTCTGATATCTCCTTCCACACTGGTGTAAGGTCCTATTTTAAAATTACCTCATCTCTAAAGTCATTGTGACACAGATTTCCTGATGGGACACTGACTAGTATTGAACCCTGTAGTGTAAGTGCCTGACATTAAGCTATTGATTACTGAGGCATTCATTTAAAAAGATTCATTTTGAATAGACAGATTTCCAGCAATATGACACAGTTTCTAGCAAAACAACCAGGTAAGGAACTAGGCCATCTATTTCCATGAACTTACCTTTTCAGAAACCATTGGTGACCTAAATAGCTGACTACTTAGGTGACCTGGTCTCCACTTTCCCAGCCTTTAATTCCACTTGTAGGTTTGAAATTAGCTAACAATGAGTGGACCCATGTGAAATCCCAGACATCCCACCCTTGAAGGTAGAGCCTCAGGTGTGAGCTTGTTCTTTCTGTCTCTTTGACCTCACCGTGTGGCCCTTGGCTATGCCATGTTCCCTCCAGAACATGTGAGTTGCACATTTTATTCCTGTTTTTTTTTGTTTGGTTGGTTGGTTGGTTGATTTTTTGTTTTGTTTTGTTTTGCTGAAGTGTGTTCTGTGATGATAGTAAGAACCAACAAGGGCTGATCCAGGCACAACATTGGCCCCAGTGGGGGAAATGTCTGTGGGGCTCTACACAAGTAATACAGAGCCTGGGCCAGTGTCTCAGGCATCCATAGGCAAGCGTATTACCATCAGTAGGCTTGGACGGACACAACAAACCATTTTTTAAATTTTTTATTTATTTTTTTAAAGATTTATTTATTCATGAGAGAGAAAGAGAGGCAGAGACACAGGCAGAGGGAGAAGCAGGCTCCATGCAGGGAGCCTGTTACGGGACTCAATCTCAGGACCCCAGGATCGCGCCCTGGGCCAAAGGCAGGCACCAAACCGTTGAACCACCCAGGGATCCCCCAAACCATTTTTTTAAATAAAGATTTTATCTTCCTCTGCCTGTGTCTCTGCCTCTGTGTGTATGTGTGTGTCTCATGAATAAATAAATAAAATCACACACACACACACACACACACACACAGGCAGAGACATAGAGGGAGAAACAGGCTTCCTGTGGGGAGCCCCATGCAGGACTCGATCCCAAGACCCTGGGATCACAACCTGAGCCAAAGGCAGATGCTCAACCACTGAGCCACCCAGGTG